TGGGTGTCCCGTCTGGAGATCCCTAAGTAGCGTAGGGTAGCCTATTGTGTTACAGTAATTGGTTCTTGGACACCCAAACAGTCCTGGTATACAGTAGCAATTCAAAAAAAGAAGAGATGGGGATGGTTGTAAGGGATGGTCTGGTTCTTTCATTTCTTCACGGATCCCTGGCCCGATTCTTCTGGCTTCGCCCAACGGATTGAGGATGGGTCACTGGGACCGACTGACTCGACCGGTGTCGGACGAGGTATGCCCCGTTGGTGTCGGGTGACCCTTGAGGTTCTATCAGTTCTATCAGGTCATCGCTTTCTTGTTACTAGTAGATACTAGTAGTAAGAATGCTACTAGTAGGAATGCTAGGAGCCCCGTTCGTAGCGTCCTTGCTCCGTTCGTAGCGATGCCCAAAATGTTCCTAGTAGCGTTCTTGTTCCACAAAAAAGTCCAATAAGTCAAGAATGTCTGCTTCCCAAGAAACCAGCCACATGAATCTCCACCAGCTCTTGGTCTGGGCTAGCAAGGCTTTTTCCACCAGACTTGGCAGCGGGGTATGCCGACATGGCCCAGGTGATCCGGCGATCCGTTGAATCGGAGCTGTTGGAGTACTGTGCAATGGTTGTCTGTCCCTCACACGTCGTGTCTTCGTCTCACACGAGTCGTTCACACGCATCAACGTTTGTGACTTGCCGTTGCGTCACACACATGTCATGCGACGACTGCCGGACGACCGGGTCGGAAGCCAGAGACAGTCGGTCTCCATGTCATGACCACCCTTCCACCCAACCGATGTGTGGAACCCTTTAGACCATCGGTCGTGTTACCAAGCCAGACCTCTCTCATCCGGTCTCCAGGTCTCTTACGGGGGACTTCTTTAGATGTGGGAATGTGTTTGATCTTCCTTCACATCATTGGGCCCAACAAACCCGATGCGCTTTTAAGGAAACAGAACGGCTGCACAGATCGAGCGAGATGATGTCATGCCAAATGTTGGGTCCAAGGGGGGCGAGTGAAACCTGGCTTGGGTTGTTGAAGACCTGCTGTTGGTTTATTAAAATGAATCTTCAACGACCCAAGCCAGGACCTGCTGTTTTTTAAATAAAGCCACCAACCTGATTGTCTTTTCTTGCCGGGTACCTCTTTCGTGACTTTGCAGCATGACCCAAAACTTCGGTGAATCGTGTCATCCACGGTTCATCGAAAAGGGTCCACTTGGCTGAAGGCAGCATATTTTCCTCGGCTCACCGTACGTGAAACAACTGCAAGATCAAGAAAAAGCCACCTTTTTGGATGAGACCAACTTGAACAAATGAACCACCATGTTCCCATGTCCTGGGCTTCTGTTACAAACTAAATGGTGAAATCCCCCTAGGATTCCTGCCCCCCAGCGTCCACCATTGATTTCATGGTTACTTACCAAAGAGATCCATTGAACATACATGACTGTACTGAGACGTTTTGATGATCGATTCCGAGAGAGCCAGGTATAAAACCTCTCAACAGCGAGAAGAACTGGTTCCGGACCTGACCGGGTCGGGTCTTGCCGTTTCCGGAGGTCCGCCGTCCCAGGCGCTTTCAAGCTGTCAATCGCCGGACTCCGAATGATCAAGTTCAGCGAGACTTCACCCTCCAGGCCCAGGGTCTGGCACCGGTCTCATGGAAGTGGAGGATGGCACGGACCGATATTTGGTCTTTGAAAAATGGTCCCGAATTGGAGGCCATGATTCTTCCACCAATATAAGCCATGATTATGCATGATGATTCCAATATAAGGACATATAAGGCATTATAGATAGTGCATGATAATGCTATAGGTCATTCCCAAGAACTCCCACATGGGTCGGACAGACCTGAACGCGTCGCGATTAACCGGCGCGAGAGATGCTGCAAACGGCGATGCCGTCCGAATTCAGTGGTCCCACGGGCATGAAGTAACGCGACGCGGTCCGTATGTCGTCGCTCCGAAGGGCTTCCTGTTGAAAGGGCAAGTGGAATATATTAGAGTGTGATTCACCACCTAAACAACCAAAGGCAGAACAAATAAAAGGCCAACAAAAGAGACACTTTCTTCCTATCAGGACCATCCTGTTTGGGGTCTCCAATAGGCTATACCCATGACATCCCATGACTATCCTACAATACTTGTGGGTCCAAACAGGACACCCCAACAGGATGGTCCTGGTATGCATCGCTCTGGGCCACCCTGGAAACTCGCGGGTTTCCCCTCGCGTGGTACACATGACCCGTCCTGGAATCTCCTTCGGTCACCCTCAAGCACCGTCCCTGAGCTGAGCATCAACAGCTGGAGCGCAACTGGGTGACCCGTGCGCCTCAGGGCGGAGACCCCGCGTGTGTCAACGCACGAGAACGCACGAGAACGCCACAGCTGAAGCATGCCTTGGGCCGAGTTCCTCTCCTTAGGGTCTCACCAAGGTTTGCAGGTCTTACTACCGGAAAAATCCTTAATCTCAAACTGGGTCCACATTTGATGAACCTTTTGTCCTCTTGGGTGGCCTTTCTTCAGGTTCCTTGCCGATCCTGGCACTCTTTTTTTGGAATAAAAGGTCCTCAACCTGCATACCTTTTCTTCGAGTTGCTTGAGGAATGGCGAAAAAAGAAGCATATGCCCCAGAAGGGGATTCACCCAGAGGGAAAATAGAAATCACCAAACCAAAGTTTTCCACTCCATGACTTCCGCCACCGCCTGGCACCACTCCCGCTCACGTGGTGCTCGTGCGTCGGGCGGCGTGGCAATCTCGCGCTTGAGATCCAAGAGCAACTGGTACCCTTCATAGCGAGCCAAGGGCACCACCTGCCAGGTCGACAGCTGGACAAACGAGATGTTTCACGTTTGTGCAGGACAAACCAAGGCCCATAGATGGAATACATGGACCCCTAATTTCACTATCCATAGATGCAGCAACAATTCATAACAATTCCATACATGGATGGTCTGGGAAAGGAATAATGTTGGATCCCTTTAGATTGGCCAAAAGGCAAAGAACAATCTTCCTTCCAATAGCCCATTGGATACGGTGTCCCAGAGACATAACTCATAAAGATTGTGACCACCCCATGTTCCGATCGGCAGGGGAGATGGAATAAGTCCCATGGCCAAAAAAACCATGAACATCATATACCAGGACCCTCCGACGGGTCACCACCTGCGACGTTTCAGTCTCCTGGATCCGTCCCCATTTCGGAGACCTGTTTCTCGTCGGGTGCTGGAGACCTGTTTCTCGTCATCCCACGGGAAGAAGCATCGAGTCTGCGGTTTGGTCGATGAACACATGAGGGACTCCCGTGGATCCAGGGCCTTGGATCCCATTCTTCATGATCAGATTCGTCTTGGAGAGGTTAAGGCAGGTAAGCAATCAGATGCAATCAGTAAGGAACATCCAGAAGCATTCTTCAGTTTGGAACTGGATGTCATTCACCATTAGTGGAGGAAACACCGACCCTGACTGGTTCGGAACATCTATGAACATCTCTCAGGACATCCAGAAACTTTAGACTGCACTCACCCGGCCCTTTTCACGCCGCAAAGAAACCCAAGAAACCCACATCTCCCAGTCTCTGTCCCTCACACCTCACAGAATATGCATATGTACCAGGGCCCCCCTGGTTGAGGTGGTTAAGGGATACCCCGAATCACCTCTAAGGAGCTATAGACACCCCAAACTGGGGGCATCAAATAAAGATGGAAAATTCATCTCTGTTGCCTCTTGAAGGTCTTGGAATTCCCTTCTTTCAGCACTTCGGCGCCGGATACGATACTCCGATACGTCGAAGTGCAAACGAGCGACTCGACAGACCGAGACTCTCCATTGAGCTCTCCAGGATTGGCTCCGTCCTTCAGAGGATTGGCTTCGTGGTGGTTTTTCCCAGCGAAGACGACCGACCTGTCGATCCAACCAGACTCTTCGCGTCGCGTGGTGGGCCTCCTCGCCACTGAGCGTCAAGACCCGGAGATGCACGAAGTGCCGCGCTTGGTCGGAGTCGGTCGCGCTGAACACCGGCGCCACGTCCGGTGCCGCGCTGTCCGGCGCTTCGGCTGCTGCCGGAACGGAGGCCATGGCCACAAGGAACGGCGGGAGAGGGCATGGAGAGGGCCCTAAATAGGCATGCCAAAGAGCTGCGGAAAGTAATTGTCTTGTGATGTTTTTGATATGTGTTGTTAATGTTGCACATTGTTACACATTGTTACACGTTTCTCTGTTCTGGACATTCTCTTAAGGATCAGCGTCAGGATTTCAGAAGACATCACCCACTCTACTGATCTCAGTGTTGAAAATTGCCATGAGCATAGCAATTTGGGTGTTTCTATTCCATGTGGTCAGTTTGTTTGATCATCCTCAATGATCCAAACGTTCGCATATGTTCGCATCCATTCACTTGGCTTTCCGCCATCTCATGCATCCTACACACTGTCTACCAAACGCTGGAAAGGCTTCTCTTTCTGCTGTCTACAAGGAGATCAAGCCTTCACTTCGGTTGACGAGCGGGCCTCTCAGATAGGTCCTTCAACCTCCAACTTCTATATTGTTAATGAAGCCTCACGTGCCAAAGATCGCAAACGCATGCCCCAAATGTCCACCGGTCTGAGGATACTCGGATTCGCTTTGAGGAATTGCTTTCAGGTTAGCTTTCCATCAGTCTGTGATTGTTGAGGAAACCCTTTTCTGAGACAAATGATACCTGGCTAGATCAGATAGACAGATCAAACCAACCATCGCTCCTCAAATCCCAAAAAACAAAAACAAAAAAAACATAAGAAGACAACATATCAAACACACATCACTACGAACTGAGTTCCACCCTACAAAATTAGTTCCAGCGCTGAAAAAAATCCCTGGCCTAACATCTATGGTGCCTCCAATCATTGACTCATCTTCTTCCCCAAACCAAAAATGGATGCTGTTCAACGCTCAAAGGTTTTTCGCTGGGTTTCGCACGGTTCGCACCGTTCGCACGGTTCGAACACGGTGCCCCTGCCCGGCGTCTGCCTTGTTGTCCTCGGTGCCCGAAGTTAAGAGCACCACGCAGAGACAACCTGGGTGTTCGGGCTTCGGAACGGAACGGTACTCCCATGAGGATGACAGTGAATTCTCACGAGCCACGTGGCAGATGGGAGCCATTCTCATGCACATGAAGAGGATGCTGGGAGCCACGTGGCTGATGCTGGGAGCCATTCTCATGCACACAGAACGGCAATTTTTGTGAATTCATGCTCCCAAAGGGAACAGCTGAACAGTACAAAGCCTATCAGCAAAAGCTGAGCCACCCTTCTCCACCAGGCCCTCACAGGCGGGGAAGCGCCGCATGCCTCGCAGTCGACCGAACAACGGTTTGGACGTCGAAGCCCTCAATGTTTGATCATGATATCCCTGGGAGTCCAAGACCTTTACTAGGTGTTCCGAGTTATAAGTCCGAGTCCTTTAAAAGATCTTGAATAGGTGATGCGAGGCCGGGAATTTCCTAAAACCTTGGGCGGTGCCCAAAGATCGTCGTTTCGTGGACTTCTAAGAGGGATACTCTATACCATCCTATATACCGGCATACCCCAAGCCATGTTTTAGTCGAACCTATTTGCACCTTGACGGGGCCAAGAATGGGATCCTCCCGTCGCTCGCGTCCCACAAAAAGAAATTGGTTATTACCTAGAACCCATTTGACCTCCTTTTTGATCAGAAAAGGCCATATTTTGGATGGTTGCTCCTCCAAAGCAGGGGTCACTCAGGTTCTAGGTGTATATATTATATATATAAGGGCATTTCATAGCAATCAGGTGTCATCTCGTTTCGATTGGGTGTCGGGACACTTGCTGCCGGTTCTTTTGCAGCACTTGGTTCTGGATCAAAACTCACCTTATCAAGACCTTACCCAGCAGGAGGCCTGGATAGTCAAAGCAGCTGCAACCTTGTTTTTTCACAAGCCTCCATTTGTCCCCGCTTCCAGGCTTGACATGTGCCACAAGTCAGGCTCGCAGTGATGGGTGCTTGACTGCCCTTTCTGGATATCCACCTTCTGGATATCCACCTGCCCAGGAAGCATGGTCAAAGCTGGGCCAACATCATTGAGAAGCAAGCCCCTGAGAAAGTTTTGTTGATAATTGATTATTAATTATCATTGATCAACCATTATCCTTCTCAATCCTTCTCAGGCCTGACTTGGCACCAGTGATTGCGACTGGCTCAGCTCAGCTGCCGACCGCTGTGAACTCGTGTGAGCTCTCCCCGAAACTTCGCAAAGCCCAAAATCTCTTGCATTCTTTGGGCATCCGGTTTTTTCACAGCATTTTGCAAGCTGTGCACAATCTCAGGAAGGCTTCAGCAGTATGAGCTCTAGACAAAGTATGCCAGAGAAAGATTCATGAGAAACATTGCGCAATCTTGACAAACATGTTGAGGTTGTTTGGCCCGAAGACCATCGAACCAAATTGGATGTTTCAAACATCATGAACAGCTTTTGGTTGAAGCACATGCTTCTGTCACTCACAAAGCGTTGCAGCATCCCTGAACTTTGCAGCATCCCTCAACCACTGCGCCATGATATCTACACATAAACTGTTGATCCTGGTCAGGACCTCATATCTTTGTGGGTTAATGACATTAATGCTGATTGCTTCAAGAGAAGGTGCGCAATCTCTCTCTCAGCTCCGCTCAGATCCGCTCAGGCATGAACCTGGCAAACACAAGCGTAGACAAGATCTCAGAAACTTTACGACTTGTTTTTTTTCCACTGATGCTGTTGATTCAGCTGCGTTGTGCCTCACATGCTGGAGAGTTCAAAGGCCCTGGTGCTTTTCGTGGTGCTTCTTACTTCGAAGGATGGGATGTTTAGTTGGTGCTTCAAAAAGGTATTGATTGCAAAAACTCAAAAAACAAATGTGGGCCCATTTGATTCTTGTTTGGGCCCATCAACTAAAGCAACGTGACAGGACCAGCCTCACCAAACTCAGCTACACAGGCCAATGACCAAGCCTGAACAGGAAACGTTTGGTTCATGTTCTGGTCCATGCTTCTGTTTGCATTTCGATAGTTCTACTGACTAGGTGCGCAGCTACTACTTTTGCTATGCAGCAGCGGCGTCAGTCATGTGCTGAGATTGGTTTTGCTCAGCAGTTTTGTTTGTCCAGTCTCAACCAATCTAACCATAGACTTGCCAAACTTGGCCCATGACCTCTCAATGGTGAGCAACATTCCGCAGGAGGATTTCCATAGCTCACTGTGGCAGAACGTGTGGTTAAAGATGTATCATCCACCTTACTTTACATGCTTCAAAAAGACACACCAGCCCAGGTTCTTTCGGAGGCAATCCAGATCAGGCACCAGCAGCGCCAGCTCAGTTCAGCAATCCAGATCAGGCACCGGCGGCGCCAGCTCAGTTCCGAGTGAACGCGTGTCTGACACTAGCACTTTGTGTGACCCTGGCCATGCATGCAGTGGTAGACGTGCTTTCTTCAGATCAATCAAGCGTGGGCGGAGCCCAAGCCCAAGTGCAGTACCATCAGGGTCCGAGATTTTGAAGGTCAACTTCACGCTGAAGAACTTGTTAGACTTTCAGCATACATACAAAGTACAGCAGGAGATAGACCCCGAGAAAAAGGTTGGGGAGAGGATTTTGGGGCACCATCGGCGTCCCAACTACAACAATCAGAAAAGAAGACTTTTGGCCAAGGGCTATCAGCACCGGCTGTAGCTAGCCAGCAACAAGCACTCAAACCAGATGACAAGTTCTTGTACATCAAATTGTTTTGTTTTCCAACTCTTTTAAAGAATTTTTATACTAATTGCATGTCCCTTATATATACTGTAAACTTCAAGATGTTGTGAACGCCGCCCAGGCAGCGTGACAATGGTGTCTCTCCGGATCGCTTGGAACATTTGCAACATCTTAGTCACTGCAGATGTCACAGGAAACAATGTTTTGCAAAGCTTCAGAAGATGGGACTTCTCACCGAGTTTTTGCAGTGTTTCTGGAGCATGACCAAACTGCGTCAAGACCTCTACGCCCTAGCCTAAGCTATCCTGAGTTTCTCAATATTTGGTGCCAGGCCATGGAAGTTCAGTGCTGGTTGCTCGATTTCACTCATTTACAAAAAATCCGGATTCAGTGGTCAGGTCGAAACCATTATCAAGAAGGGCAAGCAGGGGCGGAGGGCCTGGCATTTGTTTGGAAACAGAATGTCTCCCAAGTGCATCAATGCTGTGCTTGGTATGGGGAACTCGCGCATGCTGCGGATTTTGCGTGGTGGCATGGATCGCAGGTATCGAATTTGGGGCGGTGTGTTTTGGCTTCTACTGGTCATGTTCCCTTTTTATGTTTCCAATCAAAGGAGGTATGACGTTTTCTTGTACGAATGCAATGGTGTTATTGCCCCAAGCTACGGTTGCTAGTTTTCTCTTGCTAAAGCTTATTGTTTTCCAGCCAAGGGGAGGAATCGATGCCCCAAGAAGCAAAGATTGGTTGACCACTTTTTGCTGGATCTGTACATGAAAGCAGCAGGCATGCTTCCACAAAAGTTTCTTGGCACATTGTGCATCAGGGGTTCTGGAATGAAAGGTCTTAGTGACACTAAAGGTCTTTGCAACAACACTGACAGGTTTCAGAGAGCAGCACGTGCTCGGGGCACCTCTTCGAGTTTGCAGCCTGAGAAACTGTGTGCGCACTTGAATCATAGCGATCCAGACTCAGACGAAGGCAAGACTTCTCATGGTTTCTTATGAGTTCAATTCAACGAACATTGCAATATATATATTGCTGCAGCTCCTTGCCTTTGTAACATTTTCTTTGATTGCTTGGTTTTTAGCTACCATAGCTTTGCAGGTGTGTCTGACGAGTCCTCGGAAGTCGAGGACGACCAGGATGCCCTACAAATTGGGAATGAACGCCTAGAAGACGATGAAGAGCTACGTATGCACATCTTGGGATTAAACTCGTACTATTGCAAGTTTCCTGTCTCAAAGCATACCAGACAGACTGTGTGCACTGCAATGCAACAAACACTCTTGGTACCAGTGCTCCTATCAGGTATGTGGAGACTGGTGGCTGTACTAGGCTCAGTGCCTTACCCACAAGATACTTAGCACCAGGGTCAATCAAAATGCTATGGACTCAATTCCGTGAAGAGAACATTTGCAAAGTATCGCAACTCGCTGACATTTACACACATTAGTGACAAACGTGTGCAACTGTTGTCTACCTCAATCTTGTGTTACCATGTTTAAAGTTTGTTGACATGTGCGCAAGTTTACAGGTATTGCCATTTTTGGCGCCAATTCCGCAACAAGTGGGCCAAGATACTTAGATTCACACCGTCTTCGACCCACGCAGTATGCGACGACTGTCTTGAGTTCAAAGAGCTGTTCAAAATGGCCAAAGTGTCTCAGAGCACTGGTAACAAAAAACAATTCATTGCTACTCTCAAATTGAATCTGAGCTACTAGTAACAAAACCAAATCATGTGTGCAATTATCACCATATGACCATATGTCTACAGCAAAAGCCAGTGAGCCATCAGTGGATGCCATGTCCAAGGATTCCCAAATGGCTTTCGATGTTGCAAAAGAGTACAAACTGCATGTGGACAGCGTGAAAAAGGATAGAGACTTGGAGGAATTTTTAGAGGCTTGGTTATAGGGCAAATGACTAACCTGAACAGCCATAGTTTACTGTTTGTGTGTCGTTCACTGATGTTTCAACCGATGGGAGTCAATGTCTCTTGGATTCCCTTCTGAAATGCCTGTCTCCCATGCCACACGCGCTCCCATGCAGGCACAGTCCCCCTTGCAGCATCATTCCGCACCCCTATGCATCCATATGGATCCATGGCCTGATCTTACAAACTCTTTTGCTGCCAGCAATGAAAGCAAGAAGTGAAACATCACGCAGTGGAACAAGTCACGCAGTGAAACAATGTGAAACATGCGTCCGAGGATGGCATGGATCAGGCTAAATGGTCCGTCCCCAGGGTTCGTGCATCAGTCACGCCCAAAACTCTGGCCCAGCATGTGCGGCCAAAGTTTAAGATACAGGCTGTTTGGCTTCATGGATGCCTTTTGAAATTATTCGTCATCGATCCGCGCTGCCCATCGGACTCATCCACCATAGCGGAAACAATGACAAGGAGTATTGAGACAGTTTTGGCTCGATGCGATGCAATGGGAATTCCACATCCCAATCAACTCTTGTGTTGGGCTCCTGACCAGCAACCAGTCTCACGTGACATGTGAATCTTTGCTACCTCAACTAGGGCAACAACAATGAAACAGCAACAACAGAGATTGTTGAAGAGTGAGACATGAGACAGCAGAACCCTGCTTTTAAGGCTGATAACTGCCCAAGGGAGAACAAGAATAACACGATTCTGAAGTGGATGAGCTTCGTCACCGGCACATGCAAAATGCGTTTAACGAGCCTGAATTTCGGCAGAGTGGGTCACACTCACGGCCCGCTTGGTATCCCGGACGCACACACAACTGTAATTGCTTTCAACACAGTGAATTGAACCATGCACTGGGACTGCAACATACTGAGATCAAGTATTCGGGCTGCTGGCAGTGTGCTTCAGATACATCGACTATTTGGTTGATGAAGATGATGTTGTGCAGACCCTTTGGTGGAAAATGGTGGAGCTAGTCGCTAGTCTATAGGATCATCTAGTCCCCTGTACAACTCAAGAGCAACCTTGACTCAATCAGTGTTGAAACAAATCCGTTCCTGCTTGGTTGAACCAAGGAAATTGTATCACATCCTCCATCAGATTGGCATCAAAAAATGGCTGGGGGAATCAGCCAGCATTGAAGTCGAGTACATATCTGGAACCAGAGACTTCAAAAAATGGATCTTTGCCAGAATTCATGTTGAGTATGTTGAAAGAAGTGATCACCCTCTCCTATGCCTGGCTCACTTGAAACCCACTTCCAGCCTGCGCCAGGTTTGAAGGAGCACCAGTCACGTTCAAAGGAGGGCTTCGGGATGACTGCACAGGGGTTCACAGCTTTATGTTCATGCTGCGACGAGGCCCTAGGATTGAAATGCAACATGAAGAACAGCTTTACTTTCATGTGAGTGTTCATGTGAGTGTGCTTCATTTTTTTGTCCTTGGCAGACATACCTCACAACATTCCAATTACAGAGAGCGGCCGTGGATCTGGAGGGGAGGTGCACCCTCTGGATGTTATTGTCTTGGTGAAGAGGTACGCTGCGGATGAAGAGTTGTGCCAGGATTGGCTCTGATGCCCAAATTACATTTTGAGTGGAACACTGTTGAACTAGGGGTTTGAATGTTGTAACACAAAGGTCTGCACCATCATGTATAACTAGGCTAGGGGTTTGAATAATCAGCACTGATTGCTAGATGGGTTGACAGGAGGCGCAACTTTGCTTCCCACATCGATACCTGGTGATGCTTGGCCCTTTCCCAAGTGAGCCCCGAGCACTTCGAGGTCCAGAAAAAAAAAAAGAAACAGTCGTACTTGGAAGTTGCCAAAATTTTTCTGGGTACACAGCCTACTGAGTCTTCTAGAAGGGCTTGCAAGTTCCTTTTGAAGATCTGCAACAATGAAGATCCTCAGCCAGTTCCTCGCCTGGCGTGGTTTGAAAGGCCACCTGTAGACGATGTTGTGGTGGACCTTCGGGCACCATCAGCATTGAGTAGACTTGCTCCATTGATGCGTTTCAATGCTGTCTTGAGAGGGTAGACAAACACGTTCCGCCAACTTGCGCCAAGAAAAGGGATGGCCAGTGCAATATATAGTACAGCAAGCTGTGTAGTTAAGGCTGTTTCAGGGGAAGACTTACTTTGATCGTGTGCACTTGCAAATTCGTTTGCCGACAATGTGCTGTTACTGCTTGGCTCTCTACAGTTTTTGGGTTCCCCGGGCACCTGCCACTCAGAAAGGCCATCAATTGTATTCCCCCACACTAAAGTTCTGATCATACATTTTGCCCACAGGCTGGAGGGGCCAGCGGGGGAATGAGCAGTTCAGCTGAACATGAAAAGGCTGGACCGGGTCAAGTCAATCTTGAAAGGTCTAAACTTAGTTTCTTCTCACGGGCAGGTTGTGACAGTGGTGAGCGTTGAAGAGTGGCTCACCTGCTCCTCTCCTGGGTTATGGTCTGATGATAGCCAGGAGCTTGACCCAGACCAAGATTCCCAGGCAAGGTTCCAACAAAAGCATGTGTCCAAACACATTGATGCCCTTAACAACTAACAACCACCAAACATAAGCCGCAGGTTCCATTGCAGCGACCATCGAAAACACGAAGAATTGTGGTGGAGGCACCTTTGAGATAGACCATGATAAACCACAAGTTCTGTAGCATGATGCAGTAGTACATTATGTATATTATGTAACCAAAGTTGTGAAGCGTTCACCTCTGAAGGTCGACAAAGCTGAGCCAACCCACAGTGGGCCTCTTCAGCCTCCGTCGTCTTCTGCCTCAGCCCCGAGCCAGACTGGCCGACTTTCTGCACAGGTGTGTTTCTTATTTCCAACTTCAAGAAACAAGTTGGCACAACTTGTGATTGCATGCATATTCCAACTTCAAGAAGGTTTTTGCTTCAACAAATGTTCCGACTTCAACAAGAGTTCCAGCTTTGCACGTTAGCCTGTCAGTAGCCAACTAGCTTTCGACGTAGCGCTGATGCTGTTAGCAATTAAGTTTTGTGGTGACTCCATTTGACTACCAGGTAGTAGATCTAGAGTTATGAGCTATGTTCATGATTTTTGCAGCTGCCCATCCAGGAGCCCGACCAGGAGAACGACAGCTGGCAAACTGCTGAGTCTCAGTGATCACAGGACAAAACACTTGTTCTTTGCCAGGGGACACAGGGGATGGCAAAATCCTTACAGTGAAAAGTCCGATGAAACACACGGAAACCAGAACACTGCAGTGCCTTCAAGCTGGCTCCAATCCAGATTCCATATGATTCTTGCAGTTTGTTTTGATGTTCTCTTTCAACTTGGCTCAGATTGTGCAGGTTTTGTCCCTTGTGCCCCGGGGGAATCTCAGGGCCCTAGGTATGGTGACCCTCAAAGAGGCTGTGAAGTCGGTTCTTCGTGGTAACGCTGCCGGAAGTTCATCAACCGCTGGCAGGCAAGGTTTGAGTGTAACAACTTCACAAGTATCTTGTCATTTTTTCAAGCATTGTTTTTCACAAAGCCTGGGGTTCACTTCCAACCTGCTCAAGCTTGATTAGATACATCTCTGGCAGGGTCAAGGGCAAGGTCACCAAGAAAGTAAAAAAAGGTGATTGCGAAGAGGCAGGGGCCATCATCAATCAACCACAACTTTTCTTCTTTGGGGATATCCAAAAAATTGCAATTTGATTCCTGGCAGGAAGTACTATCCCAAGACCAGTGTCCCCATGGCCACTGCCCAACACCCGGTGAGTTTCCGCACGTTCAAATCCACCTTCCGGTGGGCAGAGGTGTTTGTCCAAAGGGCGGCTGAGAGGTTTGGGAAAGGCTTCGTGTCCAAACGGCTCAATGCTTGGAGATGGTCCTTGAGCACATGCTTCAGCGGGGTTGGATGCGCTGAAATGGTGCGAGTCTGAGGGATTCACATGCACTCAATCTCCCTCCCCCCCCTCTCTCTCTTGCTAGTTCTCAGAAATTACAATCAGAGATAATCAGAGGGTGCTGTTCTTCGAGGCAGCTTTGAGCCTTCGGTCAGCGGCCAACAGATTTTTGCACACTCACGCTGGGCCTCGAAAGCTTCCTTTGGAGCCAGTGGTTTTGGCCTCCAGCTGTGAGATTGACGGAGCATGCAGAAATGTCTTGTTGAACACCTATGGACCTGTGACACAGGGTGAACATTGCCTATTTGGTGATATCTTGAAACTTGATCGGAAGAAGGGATCAGCTTTTTGCCTTGCCCATAAGAAGGTTTGCCCTTTGAAGACGTGTGGGCCTCGACGATTCTTAGCTTAATGGCACTGCTCAAACACATGTGTTTGCATTTGTTTGTACATTGCAATTATACCAATACCTTCAAGGTCATTTACATCCATGTTTTTGATCAAGGATGATCAAGGTCTTTTCAGCTAGTTGCACTGAGGACTCCGAGTCAATGTATCAGGCCCCTTTCTGAGTCTTTCTCGATACAGCAGCAAACAACAGAACTGGCTCATTTCTTAAGTCTTTTCTGAGGCCCAATTTGCGTGCCCTTTTCGATGATGGGACGGAGATTGCAAACAGCAGACAAGTCTCATGAAACCCAAGGTCCAGCAACAAGTCTTTTTTGCCAGCAGTTCTTCAAGCATTGCTGGACATCCATTTGTTGGTTCTTCAGGAACGGAACTTGAAGGATTACACCGAATCCCGCTACAAGCATGTGGTTGACCTAACGCAGTATCCACGGAACAATCGTGGTCGTGGCGAGACTCGTGACAATGCACTTCCAACATTGACAACAAACAGCGGAAAGCTTTACTCAAAGGCAGATAGTTCTTACATTGTGACATGTGTTTTCTTCTTTCTCATTGCCATACATTAAAAAAACCAGCAGCTGATTCTGACTTGGCAGGTTCACAAACGCTGTCTCTCAGGGCCTGAGTTGCTGGCATCGCACTCATTGCCCACCACATCGTCCCAGGCAAAGCAGTCTGGCGCACCGATGCTGCAGTTGGGTTCGGTTTCCAATCAGAACATGGTGCGCATGTCAGGCAACGCAATGAACGTGCCGTGTGTAGGATGTGTGATCCTTGCGTGTGCACTGGGTTTGGAAAGGGTTTGAATAAGGCATGCCCTGTATAGTATAGAGCTTTTCAAATTCAATGTCAAGTGGCCAAGACGAGTGTAGCAAATGCACAGACCTCATGGCCTCTGGCCAATTCGCCGGATGCAAGATGCCCTAACTCCTAATGCATCCTACTGCCAAAGATGAAAACAATATGCCTTTTACCATCGTTTGCTGAATCATATGTGTTGAAGAGATGGTAAGGACGAGACAGTTTGAACAATTGGTTCATTAGCCACTGAAGGGTTGTGTTCTGAAATTCAGCTCCGTGTGATTGATCGCAGTCAAGTTTTGCCCATGCGCCGTCACCCTGTGACTGCCTTGGTTCATTTGGATGGCGAAAAGACCAGCACCTCTTGTTGGGCGGCGCTCAGCGAAAGCAGTCAAGACCGGGATCGTGCACCCTTGGGCTGATAAAATCCTACATCATGCCAGGCAGGGAACCATGGTTTGGATTCTAACAGCCAAGTTGTGAATAAACGTCCAAAACAAACTGACTGAACATTTACCACACAGCATCACTTGTCACGCCACTGGTTTTTGGCCATCTTCAGTATTCAGGGGTGCATTGTGAAGAACTCAGGCTGATTTGGGACACCATACACAAAATATCAAACATTATCAAACAATAACCTTGGGGAAAGGACCTTTAATATCCGGATTCCCTTGTGCCAGGAGCTTTGACATTTCTGTTGGAGGTCATCCCGTAGCTTTTTGCCTTGCGATGCAAAGCAAGGAGATGTGTGAGCCCTTGAGTATATGGATGAATGAGATCTGCCCGGGAGCTGCGCCAGACTTGTCTGGGATCCTGCTTCCTGTCCCTGGGTTCAAAACACTCCCAACATCTCCCAACAAATCTTTGCTCCCTGGAATCAAAACACTCCTGGATGTTTGAAGTGTTGGGTTCCAAACACTTGAGGTCTCCCCATTGCTCTTCACCACTGACTGAGGCAGCTGGCATAGTATCCACTCTGAGCCCATCAGTCCTGGCATTGTGGTTGGTAAAGCAGTCGGATGGCCTCCCTTTGCTTCAGGATTGGTTGGGCACGGCTCATGATGTCTATCATTTGGGCTATGAGGGGTGGAGAGAGAGCATCGAAGTTAGAGTTTGCGAAGACGACCTCCTGGGAAAGGGGATGGAAAACAGTTGCTTGGTGCCATCGAAAGGATTTGGACGGAGCAGCGTGCTCTTATTTGGAGTCCTCTTCACCTTTCACAAGCTGAAGGACCAGCTGTCATCTGAAGAGGTAGCTGATTTTGCCAGGCGAGCTGGATTCCCAAATGCTTACCCAAAGCTGCTTTGAGCCCTTCACCCCAAGCAGTTCCGAATTCCCTACCAAATCTAGTCTAAGTGACTTGATGTTGATCCATCAAGTACACAACTGCAACTACTGACTCATTAGTTGCAAAATTAGTCTCAATAATTCCCTGCCAAATACATTTAATAGTGAATCTAGTGACTTGATGTTGATCCATCAAGTAAACAATTGCAACTAACCACAATGCTGTGTGTGACTGATTAGTTGCAAAACCAGTCTCAGGATATGATAAGTAAAACATCAACAACATATAGCAGTTAGTCTGGTTCAAGAATCCAACCAGTAACGTTCTGAATCTGAACAAAGTCCAATGGATAGGTGCCCTAAAATAAGCTTTGGGGACCTGGTCTCAGAATCTCGAACAGCAACTCGTGGCGAGTAGCCAATTGTTAATACAGTGTGTTGCAACAAGTCAGCAACCATTAGTTGCGGTTGGTTGTGGTAGCAACTGACTCGCAACTATTGGGTGGAGCTGGAACATGGTGACAAAGTGTTGGTGTAGCAACTAACAAACACCATCGCAACTAATCAGCAACAAGTGGTTGGGATCAGCGGGATCAGAAACTAACCAACAACTAATCCCTTAGCGCCGTAGTATGTTTTGCAACCCTTGCCGCCGCCTGCCAACTTACCTCGCAACTAATGGTTATCAACATTTGCTTCGCCTTTAAGGCTTGAAATTGAACAATCCTTAAAGGTGAACCTGGCGCTAGAAAGGTCGCCTTGCGGCACTCCCACAGGCCCCGCCCAGTCCTCGCAACTTATGGCTTGCTTGTCTTTCCCTGAGGTAGAGAAGAAACCGAGGTCAGTGGAACGTTGAGTTGTTCAACAGTTCATAGCCTGGGGAAGAGATCTCGCTTCATGCACCGCCTTTCTCAGCTCAAGGTCGCAGGCTAGAAGGTGAACATTTCAGGGTGGGGGTCGCCTTAAGTTGGTCTTATTTTTATTCTTACAGAGGTGTCGCATTTAACCCGCAACCATTCCCAACCCATACTTTAGCTAAACTAGCGGTCTCGCATTTAATCTGCAACTATTCCCGACCCGGACATAGATAAACTAGCTCTACTGTGCAACTAATCCACAGTTGATCACTCCAGCACGCATGTAACTCCATGATCATGTCAAAGGTGAAGTTTTGGGCCTGCGGGTCGCCTTTGCTAGATACCGAAAAAGGTCGCCTTTGCTAGAGACTGAAAAGGTCGCCTTTGCTAGACACTGAAAAGGTCGCCTTTGCTAGATACTACACAGGTTGCCTTTTAGCTTTGATGACCAACAAACTCTCCCTAGCCATGAACCTTGTCTGCCAGGTGGTTGCGAACACTGTCTACTCTCCGGGTGACTTTGATGCATGATCCAATGTTTCAGCTGGACTTTCGCAGAGTACAAATGCATGAACAACAAGCAGAGAAGCAGAAGAAGAACCCTCTACAGAAAGCATTGGTGTTCACCCGGCGGGCGAATGAGCTGGTGTCACAAGAATCTTGGTTACAACTACAATACGTACCTTTTGCTTATCATTGTTTGATAGTCTTGGTATGAAGTGTTGAATCCTTCCCTAGGCCTCAGTCAGTATACCCCTGGATTGAAACATGTTTTACCAACTAAACATGGGGAAAGCTGCCATGCCCAGGACCCTGACCTTGACTTCCGGGATGCCTTCATGGAAGCTGTCCACGAGTACAACTCCTATGGAGCGGCGCTGAACAACAACAAGTGGCAGATTGATGAAACTGCAGCTGTCCAAATGTATGGGTTCAAGGCGCAGCAAAACATTTCACAGTGAACTGGCTCGAGTCAATACAAAGCCTTATCAAGCACATCTCAAACACAAGTGGACCATCACATCTGATCACTTCAATTGTCACAGTTTTCAAGTGTTTTCAGAACCAACCCCTTTGTTCTAGGTGGGCGTGTGCGAACAAGTGTGGGAGGACATTGAAAACCATTTGCACCAGAATCGCTTTGCGGATTCAGGCCGGGCTGTAAATAGGATTGTTGTAGATATTTTTGGCACTGTGTTTGGTTTGGCCTTCCCATCTCCGCTGTCCTTAAAACTGCATTTGGCCCCTTCAGCCTTCAATGCACAAACATTGACATCAACCCGCTGGCTGCTGGATGCTGTTCCGGATGGAGTGGACAGCCCTTTGTGGTATAGTATTTTGACAGTTGACCAGAAGAAGCAGCAGCTCTTCATGGCAAGGCTTTTGTTTATTCACGACCGCGCCTGCAAAAGAGGTGGGAGAGGAGCAAGCAATCGCTTGTCCTTGCCGGAGTGGAACAACGAGCTGGAGCGCTGCTGTTTGATGTTCTACATCCTGGATCAAATGGAGATGGCAGCTGATCACGCGGGCAACGTCATGTTTGACGAAAAGACCATGGAAAAGGCTAGCAAACGTGCGATTGAAGGGCACCTCGGATGCTGATTGTGTTGATGGCACCAGTGTTTGTTTTCTTTCCGTTTTCATTGCTAGACCACAAATTAGAACATACCGCTCTAGCAAATGATATCCCACGTATGGACCATATGGATGCCCGAATCTCTCCATGCTAAGTTGCCAAGGGACTACACCGGGGAGCTCAGTGCATTGCTGGCTTTGAAAGATGGTCAGTTCCAGGCACACCACACTGAGATGTGGATTCCCGGCTACTACTTTGAAAGTTTGTATATTTTCTGATATTGTGGGAGGCCAGTCATGCTAGGAAACAGGCTGTACAAAATGGTGTCAAACCAACCTGATCAACACATAATGAGACACAAGCAACATGAGAATTTGCTCCAGAATACTGAGGAAGGATCACAAGTCTGCTGTTCCTCCAGATGAGCAATTTGACAAAATGGATTCCAAGTTGAACTTGCTCTCCAAAGACTCCCGAAAGATGGCCTTTGAGCAAGACTGCTTGCGATTGACCCGAGACGTCGCACAACTCGGCTGCCTCTACGAGGAGGAGTCGAGGAATGCTCGCAGCAACCGCCTCAAGAAGGTATTGCACTTGAGGCATCAAAATCGTGTGGGAGGTACAGAGGTGAGCAACTTCATGAATTTGAACCTGCGTTTCATTGGTGGTCGACTTGCTGAACTTGAGACTGCTGCTGAGAAGGCAAGCAGTTTGTCCAAAGCTTGAAGAATTCTGAGTTTCATGAGTCTGTAAAGAATAACATGAGATAAACCAAATAAACAACATGAGAGTCGTGTTCAATTCTATGTCATTTCCCGTACAGTTCATTGCTGACCTCTCTGCGCACACATCTTGGGCTGGCAACATCATTTGGCTCGACTTCACAAAGTATGGCAAACTGACTGGAAGTGACTTGAATGACACCTGCGAGCTTCTATCACTTTTCCTATCGAAGAAACCGCAGAAAACCGTGGCAGTAGTGCTGGCACCGTTTCTCACTTCGGAACGTGTTCCGAATGGCGTAAGGGGCGAGATCAGGTCAGGGGTTGGTGAACAGTAGAATCCGAAGCTCAAGGTGATGACATATCTTTAAAATCTTTAAAACATTTTAAAACGTTAGGTCAGGGGGTCAGGGGGTGAACCCCTTCAACCATCTTCAACCCCTGGGAGGCGCGTCGAGGACAAGTTGGACGCTTTGAAAATCCAATCCCAGCTCATCATGGTGCGGATGGCTGCAGCCCCGGGTCAGAAGCATGTCCCCATGCAGTTTCCCGGGTGGATTTGCATGCAAGAAGACAGCGTGGATGACAACGTGTTTCTCACTTCCCAGCTTTTAGCTGACCGGTGCAGTGTCCAAACTTTGATGATTTGTTTGTGGTTGTAGGTCCTAGTTTCGCTTCAAGTTTTAATTCAAATTTTCAATGTGCACCTACATCTAAACCCTGAAAGGTGCACTCGATCAAACCTCACCTGGCTCCCTGAAAGCAGCTATGTTGTGCCTACAGCGGCCAAAGACATGTTGCCATCTTCTGCAGAGACGAGGTTCCAAGACAATATCCCTATCCAACAGATGTTCAATAATTAATAATTAATGTTGAATAGAATGCTGGCAAGTCCTGCAACCACCTCTCCCAGACCACCCGTACCACCACCTCTCCTGGCAGGTCGATGTCACTCTTCCAAGAGAGTGCCCAGTACCTGGCGGGATCAGAGATGCCAGAGCAGGTGCTGAGCAGTTTGCTTTCCAAAGTGGAGATCAAAGAGGGCTCCGTGCTGGGATTGGTGAACTTAAGCCCATACGATGGGTGGCTGGAAACAACTGCCTATCAGTGGATGAAGCAAACAGGGGTGCGCATGCCGTGTCTATCACTCAGCAAGTCTGTCACAATCATCGATTACTGTCAGCGAGCACTGGCCCTGAAGCTGTTGGAGGACAAGTGAAAGTCCCAACTGTTGTGCGGTTCTGACAGTTTTGAAATGTTTTGAAAGTCCCAACTCGAGCGTACCAAAATCTAGGGCTGCCCTGTCTCACATGTTCAAGCCTCCCTTGAGGATTGGAAGCGTGGGAATCACTTGATGGGCTCCAAAGTGCCAAAGTATACACCAGAAGTCCCACAGGTGGAAGAAGTCAAGCTGAGCAGGTTTCCATTGCAGGTGGCAAAGATTGACATCATCCCTGGCAAGGTCGGTTGGTCCAGGTACAAAGTTTCTTTGCCACAGAGTTTCCGCATGCTGTACTACTCCGACATCCTATATGGACCTGACTGGAGGGAGCTGATCTTGGATTTCGACAAGCGGCTTTTGGTCTTGTTAAACACACTTTGGACTCTCCACAGCTTTTTGGGGCGGGGAAAACGAGTTGAACTCTTCACACCAGGGACCACCCAAACCACCCAAGGTTTGACGGCATCAATTCCGATCACTTGTCTTCTTCTGCTTCTGGCGCACCAGCGAGCACAGTGCCAGAGACAGAGAGCACCTTGCCGCCCTGGACGAATGAGCCAACCACGTTGAGCGAATTGACAGACAGGTACAATGTGGAAAACAAGATTGCCGGACGAACAGCCGGCTCCACCCTATACCTGGTCCATGCACGATCCAGGTCTGGAGACCTCCATGAAGTTGCTGACGAGGAACAACAGTACAAACTCTTCCTTGCACACGCCCTAGCATTTGTTCTGCTCTTCTTGGAGCCCATCCATGTGGATGTTAAATGATGTTAGGATGTCTCTATATGTCTCTTCAATTGTGAACCAAAAAGCAGCAACAATTAGATGCCACTTAAGGTTGCCCACACTCCGCTGGCTGTCCCCATCACAGAGTACCAAGTTGGCCATGGTTCGGCCAAATTCCAGAAGGCAGACAAGATCGCTGCATTGAACCGGGAGCAGAAATCAGGCCAGGTCTCTGCAACAACTTGTGCTGTACCATAAAGTATGACCATGTTGATCGATTATGACCCAACTTCAACAAAGCGGTATTCCGATGTTTCTGAAGTGTCAGGATCAAGGTAGTGAGACAAACTTCCAACTTGCACCTGTCCCACTGTGTAGTGTACTGTGGGTAACACTCCCATGGTGCAACTTGCTGACCTTCTTGCAACTCATGGCTTTGCCCAGGACACTCAGTCATCAAGTCTTGGAATGTAATGACTTGGAATGTGATGACTTGTACAATCGTGTGACACCCTTTTCGTTGTTGTTCCCAAGAATCAAGCCTGCAGGATTTTGACCCGAACGGAGAGCTCACGACACCAAGTCCACATGGTCGTGTTTTGGCCTTACAATCGGCCTTCCCATAGATCTTGAGGAAGAATGTCATGTTGAGTCATCTTCAACACAATGCAGCCCCCCCTTCTCAACCTGCTCACTCCCAGGTCAGGGCCTCATCTCCAACAGCTTCGCCACCTACAGCTCCGAAAGCTGAGGCCAAGCACGAGAATGTCGAGAATGTGAAGGTGGAACCGATGAAGGTGGAACCGAATGCTATTGACCCAACCAGGGAAGAGACCAACAAGACCGCTGGTGGCTCTGATGCACCATCTTTGCCAATGAGGTCAGCTCTGAATACAGAGAAATCCAACCCTCAACTGACACCAAGGGAGGTGGATGATTTGTCCAAACAACTTGATGAAGCTTTGACTATCAAGAGGGGAAGGCCTGCAAAGCAGACCAAAACACCTGAGGAGCCTGAGAAACCTCAGCATTCTCAGCAGCCCAACAAGCCTGAACCTCCATCTGAACCGTCAGCAGTCCCAAGGATTGGTTTGGCTCGCGCTTTGGGGCGATTCACTGACAATGTGCAAGCCAAGAAAAAGGCTGCTGTTAAGAGCAAAGCCAAAGCCAAGTCAACAGGTTCCAAAAAGAAGACGAGCAAGAAGAAAGACGATGAAGAGGAGAACACATTGGACAGTGAGGAAGAGTTGGAGACGATGAGCGATCTGCCTGAGGAATCAGGTTCAGAAGCAGAAGGTGATGAAAAGGTGTGCCCGAAGAGTTTGGCAACAGCATTCAACAAGGCAGCCAGCAAGAAAAGCAACCAGCAGAAGAAGCACAAGGATAAGGAGGCACCACAGAAACAAAACAAGAGTACCAAGGATGCGAAGACGAAGAAGGAGCATAAGGTTTCAAAGAAAGGCCTGGAGGAGGAGGAGGAAGCAGAAGAAGATAAGGAAGAGAAGTCGAAGGTTGCA